AGAACAGAAATGGCGATCCGAATAGTAATAGAGGATAGAATAAATATGCCATCGCTAGTCGTCAGCTTCTTCCTATATATGCGTTTCCTCTATAGTCACCTTGTCTACTTAATTCAATAATGTGATCGCCTGTGTTTGCTCACTGGCGAACTATGTTCAAACCCAAGTGCCGGCATCGACATTTTATTCCTATATAACATCTCCCTAACCGTTTGCCAAATGTAAACATGATTATATCATGATGTCCTTATCGAGTTGGAAGTGCGATACATTTATGTTTTTGCTATTGCCGAAAGACCTCAAGTGATATGGTTTCTGTCATTTGATACAGTCCTTTGATTTGCGATTCTGTAGCGTTAATCAACGAGGTTCGTCGAAGTATGGTCCTCGCTGAGATCTACATGATTACACACACTCGAGGCAATTTTAATCATCGATCAGAGAAAGCGGTTGTATACAGAAGACAGTTTAGCACCAGTTTGGCACTATTCATAACAACCGTATAAAAGTCTCGATTTAATCTGGTGAGTTAACAATATGACTCGAGTTTTTAGGTTAATGTTTCGTTTTAGGCTTGCGGTTTGAGACGAAACTAACCTTACCGCAGCCTATTTTATGTTCATTCTACGAGTGTCGATGAAGGATGGTCGTCGCTAAGACATAGAGTAAAACTTTCTGAAGTCCAATACCTGTTATCGCTCATTCCAGTATTGATGGGGGTTTTCTTCCTAACCTTCTGTGAGGAACCCGTTCCCAAAGTTTGTAATAGTATTTTTGATACACCCTGTAAAATGGCATTTCAATTCACTAGAAATCCGTTATAAATAACTTACTCTAGAAATGTAAATAAATTATTGCAGCACTGCTTCACAAATCACTGAATATACAATCGCATTGGAATAATTCATTGTAGAAATCATTTACAGATATCTCACAACAGAATTGCATTAATGATTTTAATTTGTTACAACCACGAGAATATTAGCAGAGAAACAAAATGTTAAAAACACATTTTGCAGTTTTGGTTTTCAGACCAAACTCCAGATTTCTGCAAACGTGGAATCGAAAATTGGTCTTCTATTTGGGCTGCAGTAGTTGAAAATGAAGGCGATTAAATTTTCCATAATTTTAAAATCAATTTAACTGATATTTATTTTCCCAGACACCCTAACAGATGTGTTTATATTCCTTTATTAGTAATAGTATTGAGTGGATAGAACTCGTTAGCTTGGAAGTGCAATAAGTCTAAAAGAAGCAAATGCTCGACGTTAAACTTCCGCTGTCTTGCGGACAGGCAGGTAAAGCTTCAGGAGTAAACGCGAAGTATAAAACCCGAAGCCGGTGTACTAAAGGCAGACCACCTTTGCATCCAACATCGTGCTAAAAAATCCTACGAATAGACTGGCCATTCCCATGGGTAGAATATCGCTGGTGTAGAGAAGGGAAACGTATTGCATGGAAAATAATTCTGCCTAGGTCAAAAGACAGGACAGGACATGTCACCTCGTCGGTGTTCGATTGGCTTCCTACCAATCTTATATATTAGTGTGGCCAACACCTGCGTTTCTATGAATTTTCGAGACTGGGTTTCTGATACTCTTAGATACTGATGGAAAAGACGCTGTGGGTATCAGATAAATATGAATAATGAGGTGCCCTACTCATATGGCCTTTTGCCAATAATAGAGGACTGGTGTGGCTAAATATAATGGCTATCTAATAATTTTATATATTGGGATGCCCAAACCATATGGCTCTCCGCTAATCTTAGAGACGGATGTGGCCATCTAATAATTTTATATAATGTGATTCACTATTCATATTAATTAAACTTAGATACTGATGTGGCCACTTATAGTGACCATCTAAATATATTATATAACGGGACTCACTAATCATATTAATTTCTGCTAATCTTAGATACTGATGTGGACAAATATAGTGACCATCTAATTATTTTATATAACGGGACTCACTACCCATATGGATTTCTGCTATCCTTAGATAATTTTGTGGTGAAATATAGTGGCTATCTAATAATTTTATATAATGGGATGCCCTACCCATATGCATTTCTGCTAATCTTAGAGACAGATGAGGCTAAATATAGTGACCATCTAATAATTTTATATTATGGGATGCCCTACCCATATGCATTTCTGCTAATCCTAGAGACAGATGAGGCCAAATATAGTGACCATCTAATAATTTTATATTATGGGATGCCCTACCCATATGCATTTCTGCTAATCTTAGAGACAGATGAGGCCAAATATAGTGACCATCTAATAATTTTATATTATGGGATGCCCTACCCATATGGATTTCTGCTAATCTGTGATACTGATGTGGCCAAACATAGTGGCCTACTAATCTTAGATACTGTGGTACCTTAACCTTATAATCTGAGAAAACTTTTAGGATAAACATAATAGCTAAGTGATAAACCTGGATGTTGTTTGGTGCGCCACCAATATGGCCTCCTGTTTATCTTAAAACT